CGGGGTGAAGGAAGAGACAATGTTAACGTGGTTTTCTTCTGGCTTTTCATATCCTACCAAGATTATTCAGCTTCCCTTCAGTCCATGAAGTGAGAGTGTCCACCCTGTTAAGCATCCTTCTGAGCCAAAAAGTAGATTAAGAACTTGGAAACAGCCTTGGTATATACCTGAAGGAAATCCAACTCTCAGAATAATTTGAAAATGATCCTAAATTTTGTAAGACAGTCAACAGCACAGATCTGTACCTACTCAGCATACAAAGAGGCAATTCCTCCCAGAGAAAAGGGCAGTAATACTTATTTGAAGACTACAGACACAGGAAAGTGTCTTAGAAACTAAAAAAAAAAAAAAAAAAAAGCACCTATAACCATCATATGTATGAATGGATAAAAAGAGCTTTGAATGAACATAACTTTAGCAAGAGCATGTAGGAATGTCCATGCTGTGGCAAACTGGCTTTCAGCAAAGCACTTTGTTCAGCAAAAGCGTCTGAAAAAAAGATGACTAGGAATTTGATGTGCCAGGTTTGTGAAGGATGACCAGCAGATACTGATTTTGCACATCTGGGAACTCTTGATATTGAAAAACAATAATGCTTGCCATGGAAAGTGTGTCATAAACCACAATATGACACAAATCTTGACATAACTGATCCCAGAGTCACCTTATGGAAAGCTTAAAGCACCAAACATTTTAAACAAAACAAAACAAAAACTCCAAAACCAAACCCACCATTCCAGCAAGGACCAGAATAGCCTTTACTGAATGGTCTTATTTGAAGACTACAGACACAGGAAAGTGTCTTAGAAACTCAAAAAAAAAAAAACCAACGCACCTATAACCGTCATGTGTATGGTTTAGTAAAGACCGGAATAGTCTTTACTAAAAGACAACACAAGGAAAGAAGATGGAGTGATAGTTGTTCAGGTTGTAGATGGTTTCACAGTGCTCTTTCACAGCTTTGTCCCCAAGATTTCCACAGTCTCTTCTGGACCTCAAACAGGAGATCCAGAAGAGAATGATTTCAGAAGTGTTTATTCCAGATGAACTTGAATGAAATCTCATGAAGCACAAACAAATGACATTTAAAAACTGACAGCATCAGCACGAGGACCAAGGAAGCTTGCTTTCCTCAGGGTTTGTGTCTTGTGATCAACTGAGGGCTGCGGTCAAATTTTTTCCCATGGTTAAGGCATTTGTAAACATTTGCTGCCATGTGGATTCTCTTTTGCTTAGTAACATGTGAGCCCATGAATGCCCTCTCGTACAGGATTTCTCTCAGGCTTTTCTCTCTTCACCCAGCAGGGCATATTTTCAAACTCATTGGAGCATTTATTTATTTTTTTTCCTCTTTAGAACTTAGCCATCTGTCAAATTCATTTAAATCATCTGCAGAATTATAAATCGCTGGTGAGGATGTGGAGGGAGGAGAGAAACAAACTAACACATACGTGCCAAGTAATTACCAAAGTCCCGTTCCTTTAGTGACCTGACTACAAATAAGGACGATAAAAATATTTATTAACAGAAGCATCAGGTAATCTAAGTATGGACACAGACAGTCTCATAAGGTAAACATGACATAGTATTGTTTACAATTATTAGAACTATCTACCTTTTTTTGAAAGGTCATTAAAAATCAGTGACTTGGTATGATTTCCTTCTTAGGATGAACACTTGCCATGTTTATGACATGAAGACTAGCATGTTTGAAGTGTACATATGCATAGATTCAGGAGGAATCCTAAGTGCTGAATGATGAAGGATATAATGATTTGGACGAAACTTACAAAGCAGCAATTTATTACCGTTGGTTAAACCCCCCCGAATTCACCAGGAAAGAAAATGCCAGAAATCATCCAGTCCCCAAGAGCAACACAATAAAACTGCTGCAACATGAAGCTGTACTTTGGAACTCAGAAAATCCAAAGTCTGATTATCTTAAATTTGTCACTCCACGGCTTTTTCCCAGCTAAAAACTACAAGCAAATCATCAAATACAAAGTAGCTATGACAATTACCACACCAACATGTCATCTATTCTGAGTAGATAGAGCATCTGCATAACATCATTTATGAAAATCAACATGAAAGTGTTAAGGATTATGAATGTTTTAATAAATGAATATAAATAGGTCACTTGTAACTTCATGATAATGGAATTAAAACACAACAATATCAATAAAAGTAGATTTTTTTTATATATAAAAGTGTCATTTATTGTAAGGAAACTTTAAATATAACCAACAATATTGAAAATACCATGACTGGCATTTATGGCCTTGATTGTAGTTTACTGCCATACAAGTAATTTCTAGCATTTTTCTTAATCACATCAAGCTAGTGCAAAATATAGGTAGCTTTTAGAGATTAAGCACAGAGAATGACAAGAGTGTAGATTTTGGTTACCTGATATTTCCTTCTAGTATAACAGGCTTCTCTTTTTTCCATAAATGAAAAGTACAAAGGCAAGTTATCATATGTGCAATTATTCATACCAGATTTCTAGGTTAAAAAAAAAAAAAAAGACATTTGTAAATTTTGCTCAGATCGCATTTTGTTAGGAATCTGACTTATAATTTATACCATACTGTATGATATATATTATCATATTATATAATCATAATTTCATATACAGGTATGATTATATAAATTGTCAGAACATATCACTAACTATAGGATAATAATTACATCAACATACACAAATATATGGCATTAGAAAAGTCATTATCTAAGAAGGAAAGATGATATAATTCAGGTGTTTGAAACAGGGCACAAGCAGCCTTCCTACAATTCTTGTACTATCATTTTGGCAGAACTACTGCCGACCGCCATTATGTGCACTAGCTTTCCATGTACATCAACAGATAGGTCAGTAAGCAGTATTAAAATTGGACTGTGCCTGAAATTTCCAGTCTCAGACCCTAGTAAGTAATGAGCCCTGTGCTCCTAATTAAGATGATACTCTCTCTCCTCAGTCTCCGAAGGTATCCCATGCTATTATGGCTAAAAAGACATTATTTTATGATGACCTACAGGTTTTTGAAAGCAGGACATGTTAAGCTTTAACAATGACATACTTTCCAGACTTGTGCAAAGCTTTTGAAGTATCGATCTTTCAAATTAAAAATATTTTTGTACTTCCTGATAAGGATTTTTCAAGTACAAGCTTAGTTTAGCATGGCTTTCGATATCAATCACTTCAGTAATTGAGTCTGGTCTTTGATAGCTAAGATTAGACTGCAAGAAGAGAGATATACAAAGATCATTTCATTTGAAATAGGTAAAAGATTTAACAGATAAAAAAGGTGAGATCTAAAAAACACCCCCAAAACTAAAGAACAAGCATAGATAGAGAAGACAAAATGCATAAATATAAAACAAGGGAGAAGGAAAACACTATAGGTTATGTATGATTAGGTAGAACATGACAACGATCTATGCCTTTGCTTTTAAAGCATTAAGGTTAATTTGTCAGCTGTCCTTACTCTAGACTGTACAGAATACATGTAACTAATAAAAAATGCAGTTTATTGCAAAAATATACAAGTCCTCTAAATTGCATAAGATATTACAATGTTGTGCTGAAACATGACATATTAAACAAAGAGGACTTTAAAACAAATTACAAAATGTTAAAAATCAGATTTGGGTCATGAGCGTTACACAAAATGCATTGTCATGCTTTATCTTACGATTAGTCTTGTGATTCACTACATCTGTGATAAATGCAACATAAAATCATGACAACTGTAATAGTCAAAGTAATATCTACTGTATATCTTCTGTATTAATACATATAAACACTTTGTGTGCACTAATACTTTCAACATATCACATTCAAACTAACAGTCTTTCCAGAAAAGTTGTAACCTTTTTGAAGAACAGAAGCTGGTTTAACAAGTTCATCGCATGTGGGTTTTTTGAAATCTACTCTTTAAGGAAATGCTGTGTTAAAGGACTTGATTTTTAAAGGTGCTGTGCTACTATGGGTCTTCTTAATGCCAGATGGAACCATCAATGCTAAGCACTTTCAAAAATCAAGCCCACAATTTATTAAATTCCTATTTTGTTTACTAGTATTTCCACTGTAATAAGTCCAAAAAAATACCCCCAAACCCACTCTTAAAATCACAGAAAATGCTTGGCATCTATAGGAAGAGAGACAATTTCTCAGTGGAGTAACCACTACTGTGCTATATTCTCATAACAGATCTTGTTGCTCCCATCTTTAGTTCATGCACTGGGATCGGCAATGTCCATGTTTGTTCCAAACAGAGCAACTAGCTGCTCTTCATAGTTTGCAATGTTTCTTTTCAGAATTTCCATACAAGGTCCCAAAAGCCTTTCAAATGCCTGCACATCCATAACTAAGATAAAAGGGGAGAGAAAGAGAAAGAATATAACGTGCTCGTCAGTTGCAGACACTAATCTTGGTGTTTATGACATCATTTAAAATTTTACATTGGAATAACAGGACAGATACTACTGAGGCATATACTTTGTTTGCACAGAAGACAACCACTTACCATAGCAAAACCAAGATCAACCAACACATTGCTGTCTTGAAACTTCATAAACAAACTTAGCATTTGCTGCGTTTCTTATTTTGAAAATATTTTCACATTAAGATTTACGTGACCCAAGAGCTGCTGAAGAGGTCTGGAGGGGCCTGGATTCCTCCACAGAATACAGTTTCAAGACCCTTGCGATTTCAAGAAAACACATCCTTTGCTGATGTTGTTGGCTGTATTTGGAGTCTAACTTAGCATATTTCCTTGCTGTTTTTACTTGTTTCCACCGACAGTGGAAATTGTCATAGATACTTATTTCCCAGCAAACGTATGAAAAGTTGGAGACAGTAATTCACATGCAATGTCAGTGTGTAGCCGACCAGAATATTTTCTTTACCTGATCACGTAATGTTATCCTCTATAGTTTTAGCCAATAGGTCAGGGAGGAAACTTCATACTTCAACCAGCTTCCAACCTGGTGGCCTGTAGTGTCTTGGTTCCTGAGAAAAGTTCAAGATCTCTGCTATTTGCAAAGTGCCAGAGATCTTAGTGACTCACTCATACTGGGTAATGACACACTTCCTCACCACTGCCTCTTACTCTTTCCTCTCTATCATCTTTGATCTTTATTGCCTGATCATCTCTGTGTGTTTGGAGATAAGGATTTTTAAAAATACCTTTATAAGTAAGCGAGAAACTTTTTGGCTACTGGCTTGGTAGTCAAACTGTCATTCAAGAATGCCAAATCTGTCTTTGCAGTTTACAGTTTTCCCATAATTAGATACAAATATTTAGGAACTAAACATCAGACCATGAAAAGCAATGGATGCGAAGGGTTGTCTATGAGCACAACTGCTATGGCCTTTGCTTTTCCTGTGCCTGAGGCTACAGTGTGACGGAATGATTAAATTAACAGCTGGTGAAGACAAAGAATTCGTTAAAGCTTAAGTCATGGTGATAAAACGGGACAGGATTTTTACCACAGTTATTTCTTGGATGAGAGTCAGTCTACTGAGAAAAGAAATACTTTACCTTTCTGCAGAGTATTAGACATTTATCTGATAGCTATAAATGGTTTGCAGCAATACTCTCTGTACTGTCCTGAAACAATTTTTACTTCCATGCGATCAGAGAAATGTTGGAGAATTTGTGTTTAATACCAGTTATCAATTGCAAATAATTTTTGTAGATAAATAATGTAAATAGGAATGCACGGTAATAGATGTGTGCTTAAACAGTCTTATTTGGGTAAATGTAATTAAATCTTATATTCTGGAGAAAGAGTTCACAATAAAAACAACCAGATAGATTATGTATCATTTTATATTAGATATAAAATATTATTGAACAATACCTAAACATTTGACAGTGCCAAGAGCAAATGCAGAAGCGGCTCGTGGTTTGTTAGTTACAAGAGCAAGTTCTCCAAAGTATTGTCCTCTTGAGCATCGAGCTATTTCAACTGCTCCATTCTCTTCTACATCTTGTTTACCCTGAAATATCAGGTAAAAAGACAAAGAGAAAGGAAGAGAGAAAATGAGAGAGAGATTTGCTTAACTCAGGATTGCATAAGCAAAATTAGTAACAATGCTAGTATTACTGTTTAACACTTAGAATACATCAAGATTTAAAAAAAACCCAAAAACTCTGTGGTTTAGGGATGTTTACCTTCCTTGCCATTATAATTCTTACTTCTCCAGATTCCACAATGAAAAAAGAATCAGCCAAGTCACCCTGTAGAAGAAAAAAATAAAGTGAGTAAAGGAAATGTGAAATTTCCTTCTTAGTTTCATGGTGACATTAAAATATTTGCAGCCAGTGCCTTGAAGCTCATCTTTTTGATACCTGTTGCAAAAGAAATCACTTTTAATGTGAAAACCATACTCTAGGCACATAATAATCAGAACATCTATACAGAACTGACAGCAAGGCCTTTTCATGAAAAGACATAGCTGCCTGTGCCTTATATAAAAAGCAGAGAAAAACAATGTTACGGAAGATTTTAGGATCCTTACTCCTGATTCTCCACCTTTGTATTCCTTCCAAATTATTTCCCTTACAGAATTTCCAGTATAAAAAGCCTCCAAGGGCTATCTGATATCCAATAATTGTTTTGGGGCAAGACACTCTCAGTTGCCTACTCTGAAGAGTTTACTTCTGCATTCTTCTTCAAAAGATTATCATATTTTAACAACAAAAACAAGGTAAGTCTTCAGTGCTCCTTATTGGAAGCAATCGTTCTTTTATATAGTTTTAATTTCTAAGTATACTAAAAATGTTGACTCCTTTATTCATACCAACAAAGAGGGATGTTTTTCAAAGTACCGTTAAGTGAAAAATTAGCTTCTGCTACAAAATAATCACCTCTCTTAGATGCAAGATTCATTGTTTTTGTTTCGTCTGAGAAAGAAAAACATAGTTTAAAAGTATGTATTGTCTATACATAACATGATAATTGTTACCTATTGGACAAGAAAAACTAAAACTAGAAATAAACTGTACCTGAGCAATGATTTGTTCTCCATCTTTGTACACTTTGGTGCCAATCACATCAACCACTTTTAAACGCTCAGATACCTTCATTTAAAAAAAGAAAATGTAAGAAATATTTGGTTAACATTACAGTGTTATATTTAGAAAGCCCTTTCATATTTCTTTTCATGAATCTTTGCACAGAATAGTGTATCTTTATTTTCCTGTTTTGATAATCATTTAAAAAAGGAAGAACTGCTGAATAGTGTTCCAGAGGGTATATTATAGTCTTAACAGCTAGATGTTTTGATAGAGCTTCCATTTTTGTAAGAAGTCTATATATCCCAAGTCTTCAAAAATTATTTTCAGAAAAGCATGCATGTAAAAATACAGCTGTTAAATGAAAATATTTTGAAATTCCCTAAGTAATTTTTTAATTTTATTAGCTAACATGCAGTAAAATTAAGCTTAAGAAAATGAAGGTAAAAAGATACAGTTTTTAAAAAAATACAATATCAACAATAGTTCTTTATCATTAAAATTTAGAAATATCAAAAATACGGTATTTCTCCAAAACAAAAATATGCAAAATTTTATTGTGGAGAAAATTTGAATTCCTAATTTAAACTCTGCAAAAGCAGAATCTTATCAGGTACTTCTGATACAGGCATTAAAATAATGCAACAGAAATCTTACTTCTAAAGATTTAAGGAATGGCAACGACTCAATAAAATTTTCATACATTCTTCTCTTTTTGGCATTATTTTTTACAATGATTCTTCGGAATGTTACCCTGTCCTGTAAACACAAAGAGAAAAAGAGAGTTTATTAACAGAAAATACGTGCGTGGTAGAAAATACTTTAGAAATGGCTGAATATGTTCAAATTACCCAATTTTAGTCACTCAATGTAGCTGTCAAACTAGCTGGCTAGTCTCCCCATACAGTCAGTTGAGAAAGATTCCTCTAGAGGTCAATCAAGAGCTCCTAAAGTTAAGCTCCTGATCTGATTCACATTGTGAAAAGCTTCTCTGCCCTTCGGCAGAGAATACATACAGAGTTTACATATAGAGGGTAGAGGTTTTACCTTAAACAGGTTGGCTACACAGTGAACACTGAGTGGGTAATTTAAGATATTTAAGAAATCCTCAATATTTAAATATTTCATTTACAAAGTTTATTCATTATCCTGAGGTCCCATACATATTGATGTGTACTCAAAAAGGTTTTTATAGTATTATTATACCAACAAAACCAAAATACATGTGTCTGGGTCTTAGGCCACAGTCCACTTTCTGCTATTTCAGCAGAACAAGACTCATTGCTGCCCTAAACAGCCAACTGGACGTTCCTTAGTATTTGGCAATTCAAGTGAAGCAGACAGATGGAAAAAACTACACATATGCTGTTTCCTTCTCTTAACTTCATATGACTGTGTCCTGGTGTCAGACAGAAGTGAAATGCTTTGCAAGCCTTCACTGCTACAGGTGGGACTTGCTGTTCAATACAACCCAATCGAATTTAAAGCCATTCTTACAGTGTCCTAAACTCTGCCGTGATCCCAGAAGTCATATGGATTAAGTTGGTGAAAAAACACGCGTTTCGCTTCAACAGGAAAATGTTATCTTGGGATCAGTCATTAGATTGATATGTACATCTTGAAGAAGGCTATCCCAGTTTTACTCTTTTGGTAAATTCTATTACTGTTGTCAAAGGTCCAAATAGTATAACACTGATAAATAACCTCATACTTGAATTTTACTCTGGAACCAAAGGCGTTTCCTGTCAAGATCTGGGAAAACATTTTATATATGTGTCTAAGTAATGTCAAGTGGTTTGCACTTTGGGAAATTATCATTAAAATAGAATAAAACAAAACGATATTTTAAAAACTCAGTGTTTTCTTAAGCCTCAGGTTTGCTTCTACAGATTCTGCAAAGAGACAGTTTTGTGTTGGGAGTTCTCAGAATTTTTAAAATTAAACTTTCCGAAATTATACTTTTTTTTTTAAATGCTGATATAGCATACCAGTGCAATTTATATTAAATAATTAAAACAAGTAATATCTTAAAACAAGTATTTCACTTACCAAACCCCAGATGGCACCAGGAGAGGTAGCTATAATTGTAGCTGCTCTGGGTGTATTGTACATTAAGGCCAACTCACCAAAACTTCCTCGGTTATCATAGGTTCCAACACACCTCCCAACACCATCACATTTTACATAAATATCATATGTACCTCTGTTAATAAAATATATAAATACAATGAGTAGAAACCAGTCCTAGTCTTTGCTAAACAGCCTCTCACTATATTTTTTTATACCATGAATTCCAAAGATAAAGCATTTGAAATATACATTTGCTTGTTTAAATGATATTAAACACCTTGCAGAGACATCTCAATCACTTCCATAAACAATAAAAGTCGTTCCTTTTTAAAGGGAAGGATAGGGTTATTAGTTTTTACATTAACTCAGTTTAAAGACAGACTGGATGTACAATGATCTATTGATTACCAGAACTTATTAAAAATTAAGATCTAACTTAGTATCTGTTTCTTAACTTCATTTTAAACGCACTAAATACAAATGTAACAAGTCTTTGCAAAAATTGCTATGCTATGATCACTGAAATAATAATACAAGGTATTTAACATTTAAAATATTTTAAAGTAGTAATTTATAATGTAATAAATAGAGGAGATGCAGGAAACTGAAGGAATGTATATGAAAAGCAACATAAGATTATGAAATAAAGATATGTATTTATTGAATCTATTGTGGATTTCTCCTCCCCATCATTAAATTAGTAACTTTTTTTTTGCTTTGGGAATGCAGTAAAATCTGGTATCTTGTAAAACATGACATAGCCATCCCCATTGGTCCTAAGCCATCATTTTGTTCAGCACTGAATATTTGTACAGTACATGTTGATAAATCATGTGAATGTAATGCAAAAATCTGTACAATGATTTCATTGATAAGGGACTTAGAGGTGATCCACTGCACCTAAAAACTGCAAGGCTGACAGAATATTGTGAAGTCCCTGCAGCTTTTTGGATAAGAGATGATAAACTGTAACCTTACAAAGCTGAAAAACATTGACTCTTCAGCAAAGAATCCTGACACACTTCTATGATCTTCTGATTGAACATTTCAGTTGGAAGGGACCTACAATGATCATCTAGGCCAACTGCCTGACCACTTCAGGGATGACCAAAAGTTAAAGCATGTTATTAAGGGCATTGTCCAAATGCCTCTTAAACACGGAGAGGCTTGGGGCATCGGCCACCCCTCTAGGAAACCTGTTCCAGTGTTTGACCACCCTCTTGGTAAAGAAATGCTTCCTCATGTCCCGTCTGAACCTCCCCTGGCGCAGCTTGGAACCATTCCCACACGTCCTATCCCTGGATCCCAGGGAGAAGAGCTCAGCACCTC